CCGGGGTGGGGGGGGGGGGGGGGGGGGGGGGGGGGGGGGGGGGGGGGGGGGGGGGGGGGGGGGGGGGTGGGGGGGTGGGGGTGGGGGTGGGGGTGGGGGGGGGGGGGGGGGGGGGGGGGGGGGGGGGGGGGGGGGGGGGGGTGGGGGGGGGGGGGGGGGGGGGGGGGGGTGGGGGGGTGGGGTGGGGGGGGGGGTGGGGTGGGGCGGGGCGGGGGGGGGGGGGGGGGGGGGGGGGGGGGGGGGGGGGGGGGGGGGGGTGGGGCCACTACCTTTGCGAGACTGCGTTCGGGCGCCGCTTCTGCGAGACTGCGCAGCGGCTGTTTCCCGCAGTTTAGCGTTTTGGATAGGCTTGGGCATGGGTCGGGTCTGAAACGACTAAGTTGAGCGTCAAAACGTAGAATTCGGGCCCCGCTGCCTTTTCGCTTTGTGGACCGGTTTGAGCATTGCAAGACTGCAGCTGTTTCCTGCATTTTAGCGTTTTGGCTAGATTTATTAGGGCACGGGCAGGGCCTTACTTCGAGCCTTGAAAAATAGAATTCGGGGCCCGCTGCTTGCGCAAGACTGCGCAGCTGCTGCTTCCTGCATTTTCGCGTTCTGGATAGGTTTGGACATGGGTAGGGCCCAGAACGGTCACTTCGAGCTTTGAAACTTAGAGTTCGGGGCCCACTGCCTCAGCAAGACTGCGCAGTGGCTGTTTCGCGCACGTGGCTAGTTTTCGCTTTACGCGCGCTGCTTGCTGCTTTTTGCGTCCAGCTCCATGATCCAAGGAGACGTCGGTGACGCCCGGAGCGCCTGTCGCGCAATGATGGTCAGAGGCATTGATGAAGTCACGAGAGCTCGAGTCTGCTTCGCTCAATGATCCACGAAACGCAGATGACGCCTGGAGCGCCTGCCGCGCAATGATGGGCGGAGGCATTGATGAACTGGAGAGAGCTTCGGCCCGCGTCCGCTTGCTGGGTCCGGCGCTGTGTCTGCGTGTGCGTGTAGGGTTCATGTAACACGCGCGTCAACTCTTCTGCACGGGAGTAATTATCTATCGCGAGCTTGGAACGCATGCCAGTGTTGTGTGTGGGCTGTAGACAAGGGATCTTCAATCGTGCTTGATAAACCGATCTTTGCGCCAAACAGCGTAGCGTCTCATGATGCGTTTTGACATCCGGAGTTTTGAGCAATGTGCATTTACGGTCCGTATTGCTTTGCGGGCTTGGGGGCCGTACATGGCCCAAGTGTTGTTCTTTGCCCACTTGCAAAGGTGGGTCACGGGCCCTACTTGTATTGCTTTCGTAATCCATGTAGTTTGTTCGTTGCCTTGCTCATAGAGAGGTCAAGATTTGCCTCAAAGATGAAGGCAAACGTTCGCACGCACGCAGAACTGAGCCGTGTTTGAGTTGACCAACTTGTTTGTGCTTGAGCGGTGAAAGGGTGGGTGTGATCAACCATCCAGTTTCACGAAATTTTGCGACCCGTCCTACCCTGCAGGCCAAACTTTGCAAGCCGGAGTATCACGATGGAAAATGGGTCGGAGCTTCCGAATGTTCGTTTTGCGTTTCAGATGCGAGTGTGCGCACGTGTTTGCATCTAGCTTCCCATCTTAAGACGGTTCGCTAAGGGCCCCGCGCGCGTCCACCCTATTGGGGCGATGTTTGGGCACCCTCCGCTCGTGTCCGTAAAGACATGGTCTTTTATGTTCTCACTTTCACAGGATGCAAGAGGTTGTCATCAAATGTGATGCTGTGCCCAAGCCGATAGGCAAGACTAGTCTGATGGACAATGTAGTCACCGTTTCTTCGCAAGTGGATACAACGTTTGGCATTGGACCGGTGACTCCACCCGTGGATGTGAAGGTGGTTGTTGGGGCACCAAAGTTCTTTGAGGACACGGCAAAGCTCATTAGTGGAAGGAGTGATGCGTTCCATGTTTACCAGTGCTCAGGAGGAGCGTCCCTTGTTCCTCATGGTGCGTCTGGCTCTCCATGCGCACTGATCGATAGTAAGAATCCGGACACTTCTCCGGTCCATTCATCGGCACGGTGTTCGGACATCATGCGGTGGAGCGCTGATTGCAGTTCCGCTTTTGGGAAGCGACATGAAGGCCATTCAAGTGACCTGTCACATCATCCGGCGCGCTTGCGAAGGCGATGTCTGCTTTAGCGGCGGGAGTCGTGGCCAGGCCCCGCCCCAGCATGTTGTCCTCTGCGTGGAGCGGAGCAAGCGTTGACAAGCCCTTTTTGAGCTTTCATGAGCCAGGTGAGGTCGTCGGTTGTCCAAGGAGCAAGTCAATAGCCTTACCGATGCTCTTCAGGGTTTGAGCCCAGGACCTGACGTTATCCTGAAAGTTCGCGAGCAGTGTGATGATGGAGTTCTGCCTGGCTCGAAGATGACCAATTGCTGGACAGCGTGTTTAACGCGATTGACCGACTTCTTATGTTGCTGTGTGCTGCGGCGGTCCCTCAGCCTCTCGACGCAACAGCTTGCGGTCTCTGCGGATGTGGCGGACACGCTGGGCGCTCTGCAAAGCACTGGAGGACATGTGAAACCAGCACGTGCCCCCCCCTGAGCTGGACTGTTTCTGCGTAAGAAAACAAGGCGCCGTGTTGAGGACAGAACTTTCTGGTGCGGTTCCTGCTTTAGCGGGTTTCTTTTTGCCAGGCGAGCTCCAACTTGCTCCGGTTGCGGACCTGTGCCCCGTTGTCGCTCTCAGTTGCATGAGCGCATGTCACGAGTGCGATGGTTGCGCGATGTCTGTCGCGATGCTGCGACGAACGGCCTCGCTGCAATCGATGCCCTTCAGCCAGATAGTGGCTAGCTTCTGGATGACTGCTGCGAACAATGCGGACGGCACGTTTTGCTGCGCCGCGGTTGTGGAGGTGGAGTGTCGGAATGTTCTGGCCTTCTTGCAAATTGATCACACCTGCTTGACGTTGGAGGATGCGGGACGTTGCTGACATAGCAATAGAGCCGTGGTACGGCACTGACGCGGAAGCAGTCGCGTATCTGCAAGGGGAAGGTAGCTGCTCGCAGCCTACAGAGAAATTGATGCGCAAACCGGCTTGGGGTGGGGGTGGGGTGGAGCGGGGCGGGGCGGGGCGGGGTGGGGTGGGTGGGGTGCGGTGGGGTTGGTTTCCAATTTTTGTGGTTCTGCAACGAGCCATTTCGGGTCCCCCTACCACGACGCCCCCATTTGGCTGCGTCTCAAATTAGGAGTTTGTTCTTTATGGTCCGTTTCGTGGTTTGTGTTTGAACACCAAAAGAGGGTCTGAAATCCACTGGGAGAAACTCTCAGTTGAAGGCGAGAAGCGGCCGGCATGGGCGGGGAAAATCTGGACTGCATGCGGTCTGGAAGCTCAGCTGACTTTGCCATAGGCCAAAGAGGGAGCCTACGGGCGCAGCCAGCCATATATTAAAGGCAACCAAGGCGCCAGAAAGAAGGCAAGTCCTGCAGAGAGAGAGGGCAGGGACTCCATCCCCCTTGAAGCAAGGCTCGGCTGACCCGACACGCATCCAGCTAGAGCCCAAAGAAGGCGAAAGCCTTACCACAAGACCGAGTGCAAAACCCGCCCCGTGCTGGTCGATGACTGCGGGCATCCCGAGAGATGCGGGGCCACAAGTTAATCTGGACCCCCCAAGAATAGCGGTCTTGTTAAGACCCCAAAACATGGCAAGAACCCAGAAATGGTCTTCTCATTTTAAATGGACCCCCAAACCATGGTCTCCCGCAAAGCTCTAAAAACAGGCTTCCTTTTCTCAGAAAGTGCTCGCGGTGCCATCTGAAGCGAAGTGGCCACGGGGTACAGGGGTCATTCCCCACAAGCATATTGACACATGAGTGTTTCCGAATTTCTCTAATTGACTCCGGGTGGGGACACTTCCCCACATTATTATGATTGGTAAATTGCTTTTGATTCAAACCCTGAAGCTGGACATAAAAAGGGCTCCCACAAGTATAGAACCTTCACGCGTGTTGACCACATGGTCCATTCGCCTTGACCGCAGGGGATTGGCGCGCAGGCATCTTCTGATTTGTTGACGAACCACGAATGGGAAGCCACCATGTGCGTTCTTGTCTTGCTGTGTTTTTAAAGGCGTGCAACCCAAGTTCCGAATAACACCTTGTTGTGAAAATGCCGTCCTGTCGCATTTGCTGGGAGAAAACATGCATTAGCAGAGACATACGCCAATTCATTGCATCTCAGTTTTTGACACTGAAATTTACTGAGGCGGTCCCGTTTCACTCTTTTGAGATATTTTTCTTTCTTTTGGGCACATCTTGGGCTGCTGTCCTGCCAGGAGACCCGGGTATGTCTCAAAGGGAGGAAAGAGGGATGGGATTAAGAGACAGGATTACGCCATCTCACCTCCGTTCGGTTCCTTCGGTAACCCGTGAATTCTTCCTTGTCTACATGCCGTGAATGAAGGCATGTCTAATAACCAAGTGAAAGAGATATAGCCTTCCTGTCTCCTGTTAACCCTCACCTGTTCCTTAGGTCACATTGGTTAACAGGTGAGAGAGATGGATGCAGCTGAATGGGATCTTATTGCATCCATCATTAAACCAACAATATTAAACCTAAAGAAAGCAAAAGATGTAAACCTCACTCACCTACCATCCCTTTACCTCTCCCAACCTCTGTTTCTCCCTTCTGTCGCACCAGCGGTTAGAGGTGACGGGATAGTGAGGTAAGATGCCAAGCCCTCCAACTCTCGGTCTTATGCTGGTTAATATTAGTTCCTGATAAGCCGTGTAATCCTACATTATAAGATTGCCTCACTGTCAAGGCTCTAACCAAGAGATGTAGGACCTCGCCCAAACAAGTGGTATGCTCACTTGTGGTTTCCCGGTAGCCCCGAAAGACCCTTCCACATCTGCAGTTGTTTTTTTCAGGCAAGGGTAACTAGAGGGCCCATAGCACACTCCAAAAACATCTCCAGTACTCAGCACCTACGCATATCCACGTCTTAGCACCGGGGTTCTTTGGCCGCCACCGGCCGCCAGCGCGCCAGGCTCCGCCCAAGGCGAAGGTGGAGGTGAAGCAGATCTCCTATGTGGAGCTGGCCAAGCAGCAGGAGCAGAAGGCACGGGTGCCTTCTCTCAGCAGAACAACTCCTACGACAATCACTTTGTTGGCCCCTAGGGCCCCAAATCTCCACAAATCCCCAAAAAGACCTCATAGCCCTCAAGAGACCGGTTTGGTTTACAGAGAGGGGTTTTGAACGTTTAACCTGGCAAGAGGTAGGGGGGAAGAGCAACCCAGATCTCAGCTGCACATCTTTTTGGGCGAGCGATTCTAGGGGTAACTTCCCCATGCTTTTCAAGGATCCTTCTGTCTAGAAAACCACCAAAAACCCTGGCAAAATGGCTGGTGTTTGAAAAAACGATGGCTGAAAAGAATGGGAGAGAACCATCTGTTCCAGTAGAAGGATACACCTCAAAAATCCCGCTTTAGGATTCTGAGCCTGATCTTTTTCAGGCGATATCTTGCTTCTGGCCATGCCTGGCGTTCTTTTGATTGGGTAATTCCTAGGTGTGGATTGGATTGTATTACCCCCGCTGGGTTTTTCCAGGGAAGGTTCGGGAAGAATCCAACCCAACGAAAAGCTGAAGATCTGACCTCCGCCTTTCAACCCGAGCCGAGCTGGAGTTTGTTCAGCGGCCCATGGCGACGACCAAAAGTCGTCACCTGGATGTTGGGTTGGCCACCTGTGACCCACTCGCAAGGTGAAAACTGAAGGGGGCACAGCTGTTTTCAGTGGGTTGCAACCTAGGTTGTTGTCGACCAACCAGTCTGTTAATGATGGGGGCCCCCTCCAAAAGTGGTCTGATTTCCCACATTCCCAGCGAACAGCGCCCCTATCAATAAGCCGTGGTTCATATGGGGTCAACATTCATTTGGACGGCCGAACATCCAGGCTTCAAGATCCGCCGATTCGGTCTCCCCTCTTGAGGAGCCTGGAACCTGCAAGTCCGACAAAAACACAATTTTTGTTGGCTCGGCCGGGTTTTGTTCGTCTTCCCCCGAAGAAAAACGCGGGGTTACACAAATATAAAGAACCAGGGAGAAACCTTCACTGTTGTTGGCATGTGTTCGGGCTTTTTGGCTTTGTGGTTCTGTTCATTTTTAGTAGGGGGCCGCAAACAAGGAAGGTTTTTTGCTACCATGCCAACGGTTGGAAAGAAGCCTGGCTATGAATTTGATTCTCACGAGTGGCTGGTGGACGCGAATACCCACCGAATTGATGCCCACCAAGGGGTTTCTGCTTGTAACTCATGCCCACATGAGTCTGGGTCTGGAAAACATTGCGGTCCACCTCGCAAATGGCCTTGGAATGAATTTGCAGCCGCATTCAACTAGTTTGTTCCTTGATGATTCTTGCTTTGGGTTGGTGGACGCATGATAAACCCAGAAATCTGCGCACAACCAGGCCATGATCCAAGGGGAATTCGTTTCAAACATGGCAAGCGTTTCAGCAGGCGGTTTTGGCCCCGTCCCTGCCCGAGAGACCGAGAGACCTGCCCGAGAGTCCCAGGCAGAAGCTCAAGAGAAGCAAGAGAAGCAGGTGCAGCAGGCGGTTTTTCGGAGCGCTTTCGGTGCGCGGGTTTATGTTCATGGGCAGAAAGGTTGACCAACGACGTATAAAGAACTCTCGTTTTTTTTGGGTTTGAACAATATTAATGGCCATTATATTTCCCATGGTTCCCCCCAAAGTTGACGGATCCATCTAGGAGACACACCGGGCCACCTATTGATCCACTTTGACGAATCCTCAATACCAAGCACGTGCAACCTTGGCGACCAGCGCGTGGGTCGATATTGTGTGAAGTGGTGAGAGGCTTTGGTGGATTCAAAAGGGGAAGTCAAGAGGCATACTGCCAGGTGTAGAACGTCCGCTCTGATGCCTATGTTTTCAGCACCTACCGTAGTAAAGGGGCCGACGTTGGGTCTACTCACCAAGAAACACATGCGAAACTTAGGCCATTTGCGAAAGAGTATATGTTCATCTCCCCCTGGTTGCAAAGGGAATCTGGTAATGGACATATCACGGGACGTATCCGCAAATGGCGTTTTTTGACGATCATGGCTGTTCCGCTTGCAGCATGCTTCCGATGAGCTTCATGCCGGGTTTGCCTTGTTCGGGCCTTTACTTTGCAGGGCGCCTTAAAAGATACATTTTGCCATTTGAAACCTGGCTTTTTCCACCAAAATAAAGGGACACCACCATTTACGAGGCAATGTTCAGGTGTACAACTGCTCATGACGCACAATGCTTCCAGACAAACGAGGACCCCAAAACAGTCACAAGATCCTGAATTGCGAGAAAACACATGCTATAATAGAGGGTACTATAAATAAAGTAGGTGTAGCATTACTTATCTCAAGGTTTGACAGACAACATCAGGCAACCAGCGTCCTTGAGGCCTTTGACGTGCTCTTCACTGGGTATCGAAATGGGGGGCACCCCCTGCCCCCGAAGAAACAACAACAAACGGTGGTTTTGCCTTCTGGTATCCTTTAATTAAACCAACCCGTACAAAGGGTACCAAGCCTCATTTGACACAACCAAATCGTTGCATCAGTTTCTTGCACCTTGCCCAGGTGGTGGCATCTTCGCGCAAGAGTCGGAAGGCTGGTCGACACAAAACAAGCTGCGTTTCCAGCCGAAGGCGTTGAATAGCACATGGGCACAACTTTTTTCCCCCAGTCTTTACGCCATTGAAAAGGCTGACCTCTCAAGCTCCCTAAGTTCATTCCCAACCGGGTCATTCGCGTAGCAGGTCGGCCACAGGACCGGGAGACGAGTCTCGAAGCGGAGTGGGCTGTTTGCACATGGCTGTGGGTCAAAAAAACAACAACGGAACTCCAAACTGGGTTTCCCTGGTAAGTGGAAACATGGACCAAAACCTGCGGTTTGCCCCACCTGTTTCATTTTGAGCCACACCCACATTTTGCAGGTTGGGGGGGGCTTCGGTTTCTATTTTAAAACCACTCGAATCTCCTAGTCGTGAATAGAGATTCGCCCAGGTTCAGTTTCCCGGGCAGGTTCTCTCGAATTTGTTTTATATCATTATGAATAATATCACGGGGTAGCTTTTTTTTGGCGCCTTTAAAGGAACACCGAAGGGCAACTCCCACCATTTGGGGGGGGGGTCCACTAAAAAAAAGATACGCCGACCTCGTTGCTGACGCCTTTGGATCGTAGGCGCATTGTCTCCAGAGCTTTCTTGAGGACTGGGGGCGAAGTGTCCTCGGCACGAAACTTCCGCCCATGGCGCCCACAAGACCCCTGCCCCAAAGTCAGTTGACAGGCTGGGAAGACAGAATGGATTTCCCTATTGCATGCGAAACAGGCACATTGGTAAGAATTGCGGTGTACAAACAAGCCAAGGTTTTCCATTTTCTGCTTGCACTTGTTGGGGGGGTCTTTGTTGAAGACACTCCTTGTTGGGGTTGGTTGAAGCTTTCAAAGTCTCCGATCGAAAGGCCAAAAAGAGGAAGGACGTACCAGAGACGCCCGGGTTCCAATCCGCTTTGGGCACTGTCCAGGTGCTGGTAGGGTGCTTCAAGTGCAGCGAGGATATTACAAGCAGTCTGAACTTAGGGGAGCCTGTCAAACCCAGGGCAATGAGAAACGGCTTCTCCTTGTGCTTTTCCTCGTTGCCAATGTTGTACGAGGGTTTTGGGAGCTGCCTTTTCATGAGTTGATCTCAAGCCCTCATTGACCAAACAAATTGGGTTGGCTATGCGATGAACAAAGGCTCCTCGGCCGCTGACGTTCCCGGCTATGAGGAACCCTCATGCAAAATGTAACTACGTCCCCCCAAGTAAGGGTTTGCATAGCGCCTCACATATTTCTCGCAAGTCGACCCTTTGATTCTCCTTCTTGACCCCGCAATCCCACCCCCTAGCAGGATCGCCATTTAGCCAACTAGAGTTAAGGGGAACGTCTGTGTACACCACCTACAGAGCACCAATCTAGACATTTGTTGAATTTTGCAACGACGTCAGGAGCACCAATCTAGACATGCACAATTTCGATACGTGGTGTAATCTTGTCATTGACTGGAATTACTTTGCTCCTTTGTTCCATTCCACAAAGACGCAAGCACACGTAGACCCTCCCTTACCCGGAAGGGGAGGAGCAACCAAAGAAATCAATATCCGGGTCTCTTTCAAAGACTGTTGGGGATCGACAACTCATCCTAACCTGGTCCTTTTCTGATTGCACCATTGTCCATCAAAGGGTTCCTATTTGGACCTCGGTACACATCGCGACCCGGTTTCCTCATTTTTCCTTTCGGCAGTGGTTTTGGCACTCCATCGCTGGAAGGTTTAGGGTAGCAAGGGTAAGCTTATGGTTGGTTTAAGTAGGTCTGTGGTTGGGTATAGGGTGAACAGGTAGTGGGTTTTAGCATTGGTTTAGGGTTGGTTTAGGGTGGCTTTAGGGGTGATTCAGGCTTGGTCAAAGTTAGGTCCCAAGATCCGCCCACGGAGAGGAAAAATCCTCCGGGGGGAGGTGGGCATGAGTTGGCCATGAATGTTAACCAGGGATTTCTCTGGACAGTGGTTGCGGGTTTTATCTCCACGCAGGTGGTTGTCAAAAGCTTCGATCCATCCCCCATTTCGGTCACGTGTTGGTGGAGAGCCCTGGTAAATGGAAGCATGGGCTAAAACTTGCGGTCCGTTCCTTTTTTTTTATGTTGACGCATACCCAAATGCGAGCTGAAATGACCCAAAGCGGTGTTCGAAAAATGGCAACCGGTTTTTAACGGGTCCAAGAGGTTATCACCTTTGCTGTCCAAGGGCAAGTACTCCATCCACGTTATCACCTTTTAGTGGGTCCTTTGGGCAAGTACTGGTATTTATGACATGCCCAAGTGCTCCCCTCCTTGGTTGTCCTGATTTTTTCAAGAGATGCCAGGCGCTTCTTTTATTTGATTCTTTCATGGCCCATTCAGCAAATTAATATTGGGCACGCGACTTCAAGAATACAGTATGTAAGATACAATGGTTGCAAAAATGATGTATGCGGTTTGCATATCATACACATGATATGAATCAAAGTGAAAGGATAGGATCGGTCTGTCGGACCTCCATTTCCTCCCACCGCTTCACCATAATGCCACACCTATACTACCATTTGCTTGAGAACGTGTTTTATTTCCCCTGGTGGCTTTTAAGGGAATCTATCACTCGTGGAAATATCTGTTTGGTTCTTCCAGGCGACTTAAGCAACTGGAGGTATGAGGTATATGGCGGTGGGTCAAAATCAATGGTACCATTTTGGAGTAGGTGCACCACCCATTTCGTCCATTTTAACGGGGATTGGGGACGTTTACTGGGGGTACGATTTGAATTTTTCACCCATATCTGAGATCGAGCGGTGTCGAGGGGTTCGCCTGTGCCTCCCCGCGCTGGGTAATCCCAACCAAACATGGGTGCCGCATGTTCAGTTCCTTTCCTAGGTCCCCCAGTAGTGCCCTTTCTCACTCTTTTTGGGGAAGGGTTCCCCTACTAAAACAGACGGCAGAAAAAGGTTGGTACCCTTATTCCAACCTCTCTACTGGACTAGTTTCATTGGTTCTGTGGATTGGCCATACCGATCAGTCTCGAGTATACTCAAAATCTTGACCACTTTTGGTTTTATTGGTTTTGGGAGTGTTCTGGGGATTGGCCATACCCATCAGTTTTGAGTAGACCAAAAAATCTTGACCACTTTTGGTTTTATTGGTTTTGGGAGTGTTCTGGGGATTGGCCATACCCATCAGTTTTGAGTAGACCAAAAAATCTCGACCACTTTTGGTTTTATTGGTTTTGGGAGTGTTCTGGGGATTGGCCATACCCATCAGTTTCGAGTAGACCAACAAATCTTGACCACCTTTGGGTTTTTTATCCATGTCTCAAGGTCCGCTTCCTTCCCCCAGGCCCACGCAATGGGAGAGGAGCCACGTCATGCCCAAGGCCGAGGGCGGAGATGTCTTCCGACGGCGCATGGGAAGGTGGTCAACGAGTCTAGGTGCCCGCTCTCTCACCCCTTTTTTGGTTGGGTTGCCCTACTAAAATAGACTCCAGAAAAAAGAGTACCCTGATTCTGACCTTTCTACTGGAGGACCTAGTTGTTGACAATAGGGTGTTTGCCAGCTTTTCTCTGATACTAGGCACGTCCCCTATCTTCCGCAAGGTGATAAGGGATCAGAAAAAAGAATGCCCACAATTCTGCATGAGAAACCAGGTGTTCAAAACACACAGGTGGAACACTGGCTTAGTTTCCTTTGGCTTATTAGGGACCATTTTTCTTAGACCCTGCCGATCGTGTCGGAGGATCGCTTGGGGGAACTCTAGTGCAGTTCTGGTGCTTAGCATCTCCCCTTTGGGATGCTTTCAGCTCAGCAACCGGGGAAGCATGTGGCACGGTTTTTGTTGGCCTAATCAGACTCCACTTCTTGCACCTCTGGGGAAGAGTCGAAAAAAAGCCGAGCGACCGAGGAAAGAGCGCGGTGTGCTTTTCTGTAAGTTCGATTCTTTCTTGTGCTGTTCCTGTCAATGCTGGCTGTTGCTGTTTGGCGCCAGTGGTTTGTTTGTCTCTAAATGGGGGGGCCCCCCCGAAAGAAATAAAGCAAGCAGAAAGGTGGTTGTCGTTTGGGTTCCGTAGGCCTTCTTTTTGGTTTCTTTAAAAACACAAAAATGTTGGCTTGGCTTTTGGGTTGGCTGGGCATGTCGGTCTGGCACGTGGCCAACTCAGGCCTGGCCGCTGGCCCCGTTGGACGTTCCCACGGAACTAGGTAGCCCTCCCGGCAGTTCACATGGAACCTGATGGGCGGGTATTGGACTAGGTCCCCCAGCGATTGGTGCCCTTTCTCAGTCTCACTCCCCCTACTAAAATAGACCACACCAAAAAAAAAATCGGGCGCCAACTTATTCTAACCTCTCTACTGGAAGACCTAGTGGAAGACCGTTTGTCAGGTTCCATGGGGGGTCCTGGAAGACGGCTTGTCAGGTTCCATGTGAATTGGGAGGGCAATGCTGTGGATGGTTGCGAAATCCACTTAGGCACCGGCATCACCGTTCAGAAGCCCTGGAAGGATGAAAATAAAGACCAACAATGGTTTCAACCATGGCTTCAAAGTGGTGCGAGAAGCGGATTTCGCAACCATCCACAGCACTACAACGCTGGCTCCACCTGTGATCCATGCATTAAGATCAAAGCGCCAAAAATCCACAGTAGTGCTGGGAAGCCGAGGTGAGTTCCCTGCGCGAAGTCCCCCGAAAAACCCATTGAAATCTTGAGCCCTTTCCTGGGCTCCTTGCACATTTCCGGATTCCGGATCCAGGCAGACCTGAAGCGGGACGCGACGCTGCACTTCGGCCATGAGGACGGCGAAGACGGAGACTCCAAAGGCAACTGGAAGCCAGTGACCGCAAAAGGCTCGACAACTGCAAACCAGTCCGGCACGCGCGATTTTCCCCCATAGACCCCGGTCGCGTACACCAACTCCCAATCGCTGAGCGCTTTGCGTCGTTTGGGAAGATTTAACCCTAAATCCGAAACCCTAAACCCTAAACTGAGGCTCATCTAGAATTTTGCAAATCTGGGAGAAGGGTTTGGCAACTTGGCAAATGCCGAGGCTTGGGTCCATATTACCCGCCACCTTCAGCGGAACCTCTCGCATGTGTGTTTTAGTTTGGCAGCGCGGGTTGTCTGCCGGGCGTTTGAACATGTTTGCAAAATCAGGGGGCCCCAACGAAGACCAAACATCAGGGAAATTGGATTTAGCAACATTTGGATTTGACTTCTTTGTAGAGGGCAAATGGGAAGCTGCGCCCAACCACCAAACCATCCTTCTTTTCACGGAAAGCCCCCGCTTTCCATGTTGTTCTTTCTTCGAAGCCGGAATGTGACTGTGTGTGTGAGTGTGTGTGTGTGCGCGTGCGTGTGTGCGAAACAAAAACAATTTAAATGTAGATGTACTAAATTTGGTTTTAAATGTCAACTTCAGTCATGCTTTTTTCCAACATTGTGACACTTTAAATTAACAACATATGTGGGATATCAATTAGTTTTGTTTTGAACGACTGTTAACCATAGCATCATCATGTATTCATATGTTTGTATTGATCCTGGGCACATAATGTTAATGCGTGTTTAACAAACTTGTTTTGTGCCAATTTTATCTTTGCCATTTTGTAATTTCGTCAAGTTACTTCTTTTGTGCACAACACATGCAGTTTTTTTTCCGACTGGTCCAGAACAATTGTTTCTTCACTACCCAAGCGCTTTTGGGATAATCTTAAAAGGAACCAACAGATGTTGACATGTTTCCATTTTTCCAGGCCCGACTTCGTGCCCCAGGAACCTCTCTCGATTCGTTTGAGTGGTTTACTCCGCAGGAGCGACCCTCGAACAGTGGCCGGCTCAAGGGGTTCAGGTTAATTTGCATTGTGAGTGGTTCGAAATCAATCCGCAGGGTCCAAAACTAGTTGGTAGTTTCCCTTCTTGCGGGGTTCCGCTACGGATTAGATTACGACTAGGGCATCCCCCTAAATGAGAGTTTCTCCAAATGGTGAATCTCCCTTTTAGTTAATATATATATATATACACATTATATATATATATATATGGTCAGCCCCCCCATGAACTACCTTTTCTTTTTTCTTCATGAGATGACTGCAAAAACACGGTGTTTTTAAATATATATATATACATATATATGTCCAGTTAAAGGGAAAGCCAACAGGAACCCAACCGTTTTGGGGGACCGAACTTTGAGAAGCACCCGAGCCTCCCCCTCAAGCTGTGCCATTGACCGGAGTGGTCGGCCAAAAAAAAGAAGAAGGGCTCGAGGAAGGGCTACTCAGCGACTCGTAAACACCACTGGTATCTTCCATTTGCTTAAGAGTTGTTACTTTCCCCCGTAAGCTTTGAAGAGAGTCGATGTCACTACTGGACGTACTTCTGGCTTTTTGCGGAGGACTTGAAGCAAATGGACGACTACTAGTATTCGGTTGTAAACATGTCTGTGGGTCAAGAATGGAGCCCTAGTAAAGGGAACCAACGCCGCACACCCGCGGTGGTGGTAGATATTTTTTGTACCCCGTACCCACATGAGCAATAGGCTGTTGGTTGTAAAGTACCTCACAGCCCTGGACTTATTTATTTAGGGCCCCTATATGTATACATATTTTTTATCTATAAACATCGAGGAGTGGTTTGTTTTTCAGGTCCCGGACTTGTGGATCGATCCCTCACAGCTTCTTATCGAACACCTGACGGTCAGCTTTGATCCCGTTCCTTTGAGAGGGCGTCAGCCGTGCGAAAGCTTTGGGGAAGGGATGGAGTCTGAAGGTTGGTCTGAAGGGATGGCCAGGCTGAGTGTGGTTGGATTGGATCTGCCCAGGTTTGCGCGCTCAAAAAAACAAAAAATCAGAGATGCTTCTCTGATCACCCATTTTCCCAACGGGTGCTTCACTAGTGGATGGACACCCTGGTTCTGCGATATCTCTTGAGGGATTTGCGATTTTTGCGGAGGCGACTCGGTTTCCCGCTTGCGAAGTGCGTTCCTCCCGCTCGACTTCGGACCAAACTGAGGCCAACCAAGTCAACTGCCCAAGGCTACGGAGGCAAACGGAACGGCGGTGTCGGGTGTCGGGTTTGTCCCTAGGGAAACCTTTTGGGTTTTAATGAGAAACAAGAAGCCGAGAGCCATTTGGCTATGAATTTAATGGGGAATCCCCTGAAACGTTGTTTGGTGGACCCGTTTGGGTCCCCTAATTAAAAATCATGCCCATGTTGGGTTGTTTCTTTTTTAAGGGCATGCAGGCGTCCAGGGTTCGGGCCCAGGCAAGTTCAACATGTCGCATTATATTACAACGAGACAGGTCCACAAAGAGAAAGAGGGGTTCCGGTTTTTCAGGAGACATCCACTTGTTCAATGATATGTTTTGTTTTTACCAGTTGGCTCTGGTCCAAAGGGAAACGGTCACTGGAAAGTACTTCTCATGTTTCAGCATCGCTGCAAACGCAAATGGAGAAAGCTTGTCAGCATGTTCATCTCGTTTTTTTTTTTTTTTTTTTTTTTTTGGTTTTTTTTTTTTCTCAGGAAGTATGGAATGAGCCCTCCAAACACATAAATGGGTGTACTTTTTTCACAAGCCATTTCGGAAAGTTCATTTAGGAAACCCCCGGCTTGGGTATTGATGCCCCGTTCTGAGCGCCCAACATGCCTTGCAATGTTCGTCCTGGTTTCATGGTTGCAAGGGCATCCCTACCCCCTCCAAAATGGTTTCCTTTTGATTGCTCTTGCAGACCTTGTTCTAGGCTTCTCCTTTGTTGCTTTCTTTGAGGGTAGGAGAGGGGGGATGGCGATTGTAGCATTTTCTACAGATTGGAGATGCAAATTGTAGCACCGTTGGCAGGTAGAACCACCTCCCTTGAATTCCCTTTTATTGGTGTGGAAGGGGTGCACAGATGCCCCATCAATGGAGTTTTCAGGGGCGGCCAGCATGGTCTCCCGCGGACCCCTCTGCCAGGGTCCATTTTCAATTCCTTTGTAATTCTCCGGAATACGGATTACAACCGAACAAGGATGAAGCAGACGGATTGCGATTAGGCTTTCGGGATTTCGGTTACAGTTGTTGTTTCCTTGTGAGAGACACCCTTTCGTGTGTCCGCTCGAAACATGGAGGAGTCCAACTCAGAATCAAAAGAGTCACTTTCCGCCGGTGCATAGCCCAGGGTTTCCCAGGGTTTGATTGGATGCCAGTTCTCTTTTCCTGAAAAAGGAAGCATCCAAGGGTTCCTTCCTTTTGGCTTGTCCCCCATTTTGGCTTGCCTTTACAACCACTCACGGCCCGGTGCGGGTTTTTTGGTGGCTACCCTGGGATGTGGCTACCCTGGGATGTGTTTTGTTGTTTTTAAACAGGAAAGCCAATAGTTTGGTTCTACCAACATGGCTAAAGGTGTAGCAAAGGTTGTTTCTGTTTTGAGACGGATGGTGGAAGCCGAGGTCTCCTCTGGAAAACCTCTGGATCGCCTTGGGGCCGCAAATCCATTGTGTCGAGCACCTCAAACCATGCATATCCCCAGAATTAGTTCCCCTTTTGGCTTTTTTTGCTTGTTGGGGTCCCTTTTGTTTTCCACTAACCAGGCAACAAAATATCCCCTAATTCCAGCCTGGATCCGGTTTCCTCTTGGTTTCCCTTCGACCCCCCGCAGGTCCCCCCCCCCAAAACTGGCCGGGAAAACCGCCGAGGGCCTGGGGCCCGGCACGGCGGTGCGGCTGCAGGGCCTGCAGAAGGCCCCGGAGCTGCCCGGGCGCCCCGGATCGACGCGGATCGACGCGGATCGGACGCGGAAAGACGCGGATGCGGAGCTTGAGGCCTGAGGCGCCCCTTTTGGTGGGGGGGGGGGTTTAGGGTTTTGGGGGTTCGCGTTTTTGAGACACGGCTTAAGAATTGGTTCCTCTTAGTTCAAGAGGGAATCTATCACTACATTGTTCAATTCTGTCCAAGAAAAGCTTGAGCAAACGAAAGCCATAGGGGGGTGGTTCCTTTGTTGTAGCTCCATTGTTTTACCATGATCAAAGTCACACCCGCACGGTGGAAAGTTAAAAGGGACACAGCCTCACGGTCTGACTTTGATACCCCCTGATGCTTTTTGTTTTCGTTGTTCTATTGCGTGCACCCCCATCCCCGCAGGACTTGAATAGGGACCTTTGGTTTGCCCCCGTTTCTTCACGTTCCTCTCCCTGAAAATGCAACTTCCTTTTTAATAATAATAATAAATAAATAAATACAAACAAACTGTTTTTTGTTTTTCTTTTTCTGGGAAACGCCTCCTTTTGGCTTCCCCCACCCACTTAACAAGAGGTCAATTTTGCCCACGTTCTGTTTGACTCGGGTCGTTCCCAGGAATGGCGAGCTGGGCACGCTGAAGTCCTGGGACGCGGGGCACTGAGCAAGGGGAAGTGTCCTGAGCCTGAAAGCATATATAATACGGCTGTGGATCAAAACCGTTTTGGTACCATTTTGGTTGGTAGGTGAATTCACCTCCTATTTTAGAACCAATTTTAGTGGGGATTGGGATGTTCACTGTGGGTACGGGGTTTTGACTCATGGCCATATTGATAAAACAGGCCCAATTTCTCGGCTGAAAATGCACCCAGAAGGATAGGCGGCTTCCTTTTCTAAATGCTGGCCTTGGTTTGGTTTCCCTTCAAACCAACCTGAAAAGGGTAATGTTCACCGCACATTAGTCAACCAATCAACCAACCAGTTTCATTCAATGAGGGGAGACCGCTTTCGGAGGGGCGTGTCACCCCCTTGTGTTGGTTAAACTGGGGTTGAGTACTCTGGGGCCAACAGTACGAGGGGTTCAGCAGCGTTCCTAGGATGCTGATCCAAAACTGTTTGCTTCAGGAGGAAATCCGTTTCAACCAGCTGGTAGAAGCGATAGTCTTTACCATGGTTGTTGTTGGGACACAGTTTACATTTTTGCTTATTGTGGTTTAGTGAGAAATCCCCACTCAACTGCTAAAAAATATTCTTTTGCTCCCCTTCCAACGTTCAATCAAGTATTACCAGGATCCTTTTCAACCTGGTACAAGCGATGGTCTAATTTTCTGCCTCCCATTGAACACTAGTCATGTCTGGTTCCCTTCAAAAAGAAACAACCGGGACAACACACAAGAACAAAAACACCTTTGTTCAATTGATTTAAACAACCACCAACACACATTGTTCCAGAAGTTGCTTCCATTCGACCCTGGAAAAGGTCCACCAAAGGCGCAGAGTCGCACAATTTTCTGGCTTTGGCTTGGTCATTGCTTGCGGTTCGGAGCAAAGGGCCAAACGGCATTCCAGCGGTCCCCCCAGCCCAGAGTTTCTCACTTCCTGAATGGAATGGATATGAATGGATGAGCAACAAACAACCCATTGCCCTCCCTCCAAGAATCATGGAAGCTGACATGAAGGCTCTCCACTTCCATACTGTAGTTAGGCCTCGGCTCGCCATGAATTCGAGTTTTCCTGTGGCTACCGAGTGAAAGCCATGAAGGTCTGTGGATCCCTTGGGATCCAATTCTCATTGCAGGCTTTGCAATACAAGTTGCAGACCCTTGTCTCTTTGGTGGCTGCCCCACTTTATTCCGAAGCTGCGACTTTCCGAGATGTTTCCTTTGTAGCACTTTGCTTGGATGTTAGCACTTTAACGTTTTACCAACGAATGGAAGCCGCTTTTGGCAGGGGAGCAGAAAGCAACCGAGTTTTGTTTGGCCGCGCAGCGGGACAAAGAACAGCTACCATCAACATGGGGCAAACTGGCCCATTATTATAAACCCAGGGATCACCCCATGTGGTAAAATGGCCCATCCCCCGCCAAGCGTCGGCTGAGCTCTTGGCGCCCCCGTCACCCCGCTCGCCTTTTAGGCGGGCTCCGGGCGCTGGCTGCTGCGGCTGGCGAGTTCGGAGGAGAAGCGCCTGAAGCTCGAGAACCTGGAGGTGAAGGCGACCATTCATCGACCTGCGTACCTGGAGTCTCCATGACGCTTAAAAAATTGGGTCATGTACCCATTCTTAAAGGGTCATGGAGACTCCAGGTAGTGGTATGGCTTATACCGTTATAGGACCTCCTGCGTATGGCTTATACCCAAAACCGCCAGTTGACATACAAAAATGACATGACAAGAAGTGCCGCTTCGGCGAAGCGCCTCAAAAAAACGGCTTTCGCGTAGAAATAATCTAAAAATTTTGTACCCGTCAGGGTCAGGGTGGTCCAGGTATAGGACCTCCTGCGTAATTGTATGTACCCTTTATGGCTGATACCAAAAAACCCGCCAGTTGACGTACGAATTCGGCGAAGTCGAATTCGCACGGGGGGGCGTGGCCGGGGGGGGCTCGGGTGTGGGGGGAGTTGGGGGAAATTCGCCCAATAGTCGGTTAAGAGTGTGTGTCGTTTTTTTTTGGTGTGTGTGTGTGTGTTTGGGAGGGTAGCTGAATTTTGAGGGTGGGTAAAAAGGACAAAGGAAAACCACCAAAATAGGGGTCCCCTATTTTGAGACATACCCAAAACGGACACGGGGTGCACCATTTTGAGAGGTTCCCATATCTTTGAGTTTTCCCATGAAGGAAATACAGGCGTCGGTTTGTGTCTCTCGGTTTCCCTTTAAAAACAAAAAAAAAGGCACCCACAAAATACATGCCCATTTCCGTGGTCGATAAGTTCCTGCAATCCACTCAGGAGGTGAGTTTCTTGAAGTTCATGTTTGTGGTAAGCAAGCAGTCCAGCCACTTTTTCTGAGCGTTCCACGGAAGAAGTGAGTCATGGGGGTTTGCTTTGTTTGAAAGTAGAACCCCTGCTGCTGAAGAAGGGTCATTCCCCTCCTTCAGGAAGGCGTTCTGCTCTCGGGTTTCGCGTGTCCAGTTGCTTGGGTGGGTTGCGGTGGCTTATCTTGCGTACATGTACTCCCTAGATGAATTACAATATGAACCCCAAATTCTCCCATGGGAAGAAACTCGACTTTGACATCTCCTTTAGTACCATAGTTGTCAATATAGTCTTCCCATGGAACAGGAGAAACCTGTCCAGTTGAGTACTAAGTTGCACCCAAAGCGAATCGCCCTGACCTCTTGGGTTCCCCTCTTGGGGCCATTTTTGAGTCGTGGCCCTTAAAAGGTGATCACCTTTTGTGTCCAGGTCCTTTGGGCAGACTATGGAGGTTCACAAAGACTTTGGGGCCTTTTTGGGGCCTTAGAATTTGGAGCCCCCAAAACCCCCTCCCGAGGCTTCCTTTTCATGGTTGTTGCTGGGAAACATTTTACATGTTTGCAAATTGTGGTTTAGCGGGAAATCCACCCACTTAACTGCTAAAATTTGTTTTTGTGCTCCCCTTCCAACGTCAACCAAGTTTTGGGGGGGGTCTGAGCTTTTGCTTTGGGATGCTGTCTCGCTTCGCTTCGTCGAGCGCTTTCGCCAGGCGCTCTTGCGCGACGGCGCGCCGGTGCGCCTGCGGGACCTCGACACCCAGGAGAACGGAACTCGCCTCGTGAGAGAGATGCGTTTCGCCGGCGGGCGCGGCTTCCCAGCTCCCCGCCTGAAACATGCATCCGAGACCATCATCGGGGTTCTATGATTGGGAACGAGCGTGCGTTTCACAAAATGATACAAATGGGCAAGAAGCACCATGGAATTCGGGGAGGGGAAATTTCGAGCGATGGCAACCCATTTGGAAGACTAGATGAATGGACCTGGAAAACCGCCCGTGGTTGGGGGGATCTTCCCACGAGCTGGTGCTTTAAATTGGTGTTTTGGTGATTAGGGGGCTGTCCCATTTACCCTGCAAGAACCAGAATTTCAAAAACCCAATCCAAACGACGAATCCAAACCCCCAACTCGGGGGTTGCCGGTCTGGCCGTTGTGGAGAAGGCGGTTCTACCTGCTTTGTGAGCGTAAGAAAATGATTGCTTCATGCTGGTAGAACTAAAAGTTAATGGGTGAGACGGGCGCAGAGATTTTGTTTGGCTGGAGATTGTTCGAGACGCAAGGTACTGTTTCCCAGCGACTCCATTTCGCTGTAAAGCCCAGTGATTAAATTTCCCAGTGATTTTACGCCTTTCTTGGGGATGGGAAGCATCAGCATTGGGGTTCTATGATTGGGAACGAGCCTTGCGTTGCACACTATGCAAACGGGGGAAAAAAAGCACGGCGAGATGGCCTTCCTGCATCTCGGAAGTGAGCCATTCTCACATTGAATGAACAATCTGCCGATTTGACTGCGGCTTGTTTTGCGGAAAGCATTCGCACTGGAACCCCCCCCCCCCAAAGAAGAAAAGGAAGAAGAAGGAACAAACAAAAAACAAACGAGCCTCTATGCGTCTATGTGGCCGTGGGTCAACACCAATGGTACCATTTTGGGGCAGATGCACCACCCCTTCTAGAACCTATTTTAGTTGGGAGTGGGATATTGCCTGGGGGTACGGGGTTTTGACCCAGAGCCATGTGCCAAAATCCGTCACACCCCCCAACAAAAATGCGGTTTTGCTTTTGATTTGCCCGCAAATCTACCCAACACTTCGCCTTGAGACGCATCCATGTGAGTCGGTTCAGTCCCGTCGGCTTCGCTTCTTCGACCCGAAGGAGCTCAACGGGAAGACGGGAGTTTGCAGGCGAGGTCCCGCGCGCTCAGCTAGGAGGGCACCTTCCTGGATTCCTGCCTATTATGACGAGCCGACCTGGAGACATTTACTGTAGAACCTTGCAGGCACTTTCAAAGCTTTGTGTCAGAGTTGGTCAATCAGGGTAAATGGCCGAATTCTCCTGCGCAAAGTCGACCTTGTAACTTTTCGGCCTTCTGTTGGTCCACTCTTTGTAAAGGTCCCGACAGGCGATCACGTTCTTGTCTTGCTTGCGTCTTTATTTCTAGGTCCAAACTGGGGAAGTGAGACTATACATGGAGCCCGAAAAGCCCAGGTCCATGTTTTTGTGGGGGGGGGGAGTTGAATCTAAGGCTCGAATCAATTGGGGGGTGGGGAGGTGAGTAGGACCCCGGATCGAAGTAGAACCCTGTTGATTGGAGGCGTCCAATTCCCAGGAATTCGATTCACTTTAGGCCCGACACCCCCGGAACTCCCGAGCTTGGGGCTGGCGCCGCCATATCTACGTGGGGTCATGGTACATCTACACAAGACATGACACATTTCGCCCAGAAGTTTGTGCTCTGAAAATACGACGGCCCGAAATATGTCAGGTAGGAAGCTCTGAAAATACGACGGCCCGAAATATTTCAGGAGACCTTTGCAACTCTACCATGGCTTGTGGCCTCTCTGCAAGGTTCAGACGATCAGTGAATCAGTCCCTCTGAGGGTTTGTTGCTGGGCTTCTGACGAAAGGGCCAAAGCTCATGGGTCCTTTTGGATGTTTTAAGGGGACGCCAAACAGAAAGACACCCGACTTATAGTCTATTCTTTGGCTGGTACTTGTTTTTGGTGGTTTCAAAGGGACGCCAAACGGAAAGCCCATAAATTCCGCGGCTTCCCCTTACGTGGCTGTTGTTCGGAAACCTTTTGCATTTTTGCGTATTGGGGTTTAGTGGTTGAAGTCCAACCACTGAACCACATGTTTGCTCCCCTTCCAACGTCAACCAAGCTTAAGCCAAACTCTGTTCTTCGGTTGGTTCCTTTCTTTGGGGTGGTTTCCAAGGGAAGCCAAACGGAAAACCCACGAGTTCCGCGGGTTCCCCTTAAGCTCACTTCCTGAGTTCATGAACTTTAAACTTTTTGGGAAGACCATTTCAGTGGTAATTATAAAGTTTGATTTTTTTGGGGGGGCCATCCACTCAGCCAGTGAGTAAGCCAAACCCACCGGCGTGGCTTTCATATCAGCGGATCAGGGCCTGGGACGAGCCCAAGATGCGGTGGAAGGCCCCGCGGCGAGTGCTCGTCCTCGGGGGGCGCCCCTCGTTTTAAGACGTCGATGGTTGCAAACTCTTCCTTTCGCACCACCTAAAAAACCCTGGGGCTGATTCGTTTCCCCTGTAAATAACGTGGAAGCAAACAATGGTTTGGTATGGTTTCAAAGTGGTGTAGGATTTCGTCCACAGTGCTGTGGGTCAAAACCAATGGGATCCCATTTTGGGGTAGGTGAATTCACCACCCATTTTAGAACTTATTTCAGCTGGGATTGGGATGTTCACTGGGGGTACGGGGTTTTGACCCATGGCTGTGGGTCAAAAGTTGGTACCCAAATTGGAATCCTGGTCAAGGGAACCGAGAACGAAAATCTGCGGTCCCCTGGTGGTTTCATTTTGACCCATACCCAAATATGGGGGTTGGCCTTTACATGGGCATGACCATTAGAGAAAACCGCCAAACAGTTCATAGAACCAAAAGTCGGTGGGTTTTGGGTGCTCCATGGGAACGGTGAGAATACCAGGCCTTGTCTATGACATTTGTACTGGGCCTGGCCAAAAAAGCCACCCCCCCAAAAAAAAAATCAACACGGGAGGGGGCTGGGGTTCATGGGTCTCAAAGAAGGTTCAAATTTCCAGGCCTCCCCCGGGCCTCCTTGCCTTGAGAAGCCAACCGGGTTCAAGTCGACCTCAAAAGAATGGGATTCGTGGGAAGGGGCGCGCGGAATTTTTGGCAGACTCCTGTACTTCCAGGATTGGAATCAGCATTACGCGGCCAAATGTCCGGTTTTATCGGACATTTGGGCAGTGACCCGATGCAAACCTGAATGTGCATGTCCATGCTTGGGGATGAATCGGAGAAACCTGGTTCTGCAAGCATCGTTTTTTGTGAGGCTCAGTCAACATTGCTACAAACACTTCAAGCGATATTCCGGAGCTGTTTGGGGGGGTTCCGGGCGTTGCTACCTGAGCGTTGTTTGGTTCATGAGTTCCCCGCGTGATTTGTTTCAATTGGGGAATGTACCCCCGAAGGCCCAAACCAAACCAAACAACCAATTGATTTGAACCCCAGTTCTTTTTAAAGACAATTGGGGAATGCCCAAACCAAAGCAAGCAACGCAATTCGGGGGCAGGGTGACTCCCGAATCGCATCTTTGGCATGTCTCTCCGGCAGGTCGCGGTGGATGGCCATGGCGAGATCTTGCTGCGGGCCACCAATCTGGAGGAGCCGAAGTTTCCATCTGGAATCCGATTGACCTCGAGTCCGGATGCGTTTTTTCCGCCTCATTCGCGCGGACCCTCTTGGGAAGAGGCTCGCTCACTTCTTTTTGGGAAGACCATTTTAGTGGCAAATATAAGCTTTGGTGCACTTTGCTTGGATGTTAGGACTTTAACTTTTTGCTAACGACTAGGTTTTCCATTAAACCACTAAAAGTTAACCTTTTAGCAGGGGAGCCGAGTAAAGTTCGGACTTTTGTTGGGCCATCCACTCAAGTGAGGAGGGGGTATCCCCAGGAGCCTGGAACCCGGTGCCCTCCAAAGCTGGACCAAACCAAAGCTTCCGTGGGCCCTTACTTTGCCCTTGAGGTTTTGGGCACCAATTTTCCTCCAGTCAACCAGCAAATCGTGTTTTTTGTTCCGTGTCCTTTTTTTCCCCGTTCTACCAGCGACAAGTCAAGTTGGTAACTGGGGGCTCGGATCAAGCTGGTGAATCGACTTCGCAGGTGCACCTCAAGCCCGGGCTGCCGGAGACTTGGAAGGTTTCTGGCGCTTGGGGGTACTTCTGGGTGTGTTTGTTTGAGGGTACCCCCCCCGCATTTGTTTGATGGGCTGGTGCATAATAATATGTTCAATGGTTCTGCAAAGACCGATTTCCCTAGGCGAATGCCATAGGCAATGCCGAACCATTGACTTCTCAGCGGGATGATCAAAGAAAGCACCAGGCTAGAAAATAAGTATCCGTCAAAATAGCGGGGACACCAAAACGGATTTCCTTTCAAGCCGCCGCAAAAGGGATAATTGAAAATCCCAAGCCCAAATGGGTTTGTGTTTCACCCTAATTTCTAGTTCCTATTGAATTGGCGGGGTCACATGCATATTCATACATTTTGCTTGAGGAACACATCGAGTATATCCCTAGAGCCCAACTCTTAATTGAGAGCCTTCCTAAAAACATCAGTCCAACTATGGGGAGAAATGGCAACTGGCGATGTCGCGCTTGGTCAAGTCTGAGTGCTAAACAAACCATGTGCAACATTTCCCGAGAAACACATTCTTCCACCGTGTTTTGACTGTTCCACCGCATATCGAACGTTGCAGCAGCAAGGTTTGAGGTGTGTGTGTGTGTGTGTGTGTGCTCGCTTGTTTCCCAGCCCGAGACGCAACGAGAGGAGGAACTTGACACGTGAGAAAAGCGAGACGTGTGAAGACTTCTCGATATTACGCCCTTGTTCCCGTGGCCACTCGGCTAAGATGTTGAATCCTCTACGGGCCATCTTCCCCAATGGATCTGGACGCTCATCCCCAGCTGTTACATCGAGTGTGCCCTCAGCTCAGACCATTGGATCCCATGTTGTTCCACTACTTGCCCTTCCATTTGCTGAAATGATTGTTTGTTCCCCTGTCGGTTTCACTACTGGAAATATATACCTTGGTCTTCCAAAGACCCGCTAAATTCAGGTACTTCCGAAGAGGCCCGCTAAAAGCAGGTCGCTTTCAATAGTGTCAGCGAGAGACCTGTTTCGCAACACCTGAAAAATACTCTATTTTCGTACACCTGTCAAAATTAGGATGTTGAAGCTGATTAAAACAATACCTGTCACACGCCATGCCCCACTATTGTTTTGAATAACATGCCAAGTGCCGCAAACAAGGCCGAGGCCGCTGAAAGTGAGGTCGCTCACCGAACCTTTCGAAAGGACCGGCTAAAACGAGGTCCCAGAAGACCAAGCGTCAACCGGAGCAACATGTTCAACCCGAAGACGGTGGTCATGGACTACTTGAATACGAGCTTCAATGACAACTACCAGTTCCCTCCGACGAAGGGCAATCCAAATTGGCATTATAGTGGTATGATAATGTTATATGTAATTTGTTTTTGTTTTTTGTTTTTTCTTGTTTACTGTTTTGTAAAAAAAAACACAAACATGTCCAGAGGTCTTTCACCAGATTGAAGCGCCCTTCGGATCGCATTTTTCGACCTGCCTCGGCTCGCCGAGGCAGGTGCAGCTCTGCGGCCTGCAGAGCGGGCAGCTGAATGGCAAGGAGGCGAGCGGAGCGAGCGGAGCGACGCCGGCGGGGTGCTCTGAGCCGAAGGATTTTTTTGGCCCTGAAAATGCGGACACTCCAGGAACTCAGTTTTTGGGTGGGAGGGTTTTCCCCTAAAATCGGCTTTCTGAGGACTTTTTCAGGTACACCTTCCATTTCCATTCTGAACCCAGGGATCTGCAATGTGTCCAAAAAAAGCTCCAAAAAACCAGGGAAAATGGCCCTGAGTTCCTGGACGCTTAACTAGCTCCCCCAGCTAGGTGCACTGTTTTTGACCCTTTTTTCGCGTGGGAGGGTTTTCCCCTAAAATAGACTACAGGAATGTCTTGTCCTGAGGTGGACTGTGAAATGAAGTGAGAGGACCATTTTAGTGGTAAACGAAAACTTGCTCCCAGCCGTCCGAGAAAGCTTTTTAGCCCTTTAGTGTTTAGACCGCCCTGAGGTGCTGGACACTTTGGTGCATTTTGCCAAGGGATGTTAGGACTTTGTTTTGCTAACTAATTGGTTTTGTATGAAACCACCAAAAGTAAAACTTTCAGCAGGGGAGCAGAAAGCAACCGAGGACTGTTAAACTAATTGAGAGGACCATTTCATGGTTGTTGTTGGGAAACATTTCACATGTTTGCTTATTGTGATTTAGTGTTTGGAATCCAACCACTGAACTGCTAAAACATGAGATTTCTTGCTCCCCTTCCAACGTGAACTCACTCGGGAGGTGAGATGAATTTCGGTCGTCTCTGTTTGCTGTCCTTGCCGACGCGGACAGGGTAGCCTCAAAAAGCAAACGTTTTTCCGGGTTTCATATGATGGTTTCACCTGGTCGCCAGGGCGAACTGGCCCAGAGTCGTCGGTCGGTGCGCAGAAACTCAACAGGCCCCTTTCGGAATTTGTGAGCCACAAAATAATTTTGTGTATTTTGAGGATACCCCTTGTCAGGTTTGGCTAGGGAACTAAAGGGGAAACCACCCATTGGATTCTCTCATTTGAAAGAGACAAGCACATGTTGTTTTTGCTTTCACACCTGTAACTGGAACATGTTGCAGGAGATTTGCCCACATATTGTTCAGGTACCTTTTGTTTTTCCGTCTCTCTGAGGTGGACAAAGGTGGAGGTTAGGGACGAGATTGTTGTATTGTCTATTGTTTGTTTCCATGGTGTGTCCCTTGTGTTGGGTGCTAAACCCAAGTGCCCGCTAAATTCGGCGTACGATGTGAAACGGTTTTGTGGTGAGAGAGTGTTGCGCATGGCCTAGTGCTTACCAAGGAGTTTAAAGGTTGCCGATGGCACGCATTTTTCTTGAGGGAATGACCCTTATACACCATCCCTTGTGGTTTCCTTTAAGGGGACCAGGGGACCCCTGGCTTCATTCCCACATTCCCTCCTGAGCACCAGCAAGTTTTCTGGCCCCGAGTTCGTTTTTCCTTGGCGGGGCTCGTGGCAGGGTGTTTTGAGTCGGTCGGTCGGTTGCTCGGCCGCCTGGAAAGTGGCTCCCCTTGTAGCGGCGAGAACTGCATTTGGGGTTTTTGAAGTACCTGGCCGCCCCGTTCAAATGTTTTAGGTCCTTGTAGTAGGGTTCTCCCCGGCCCCCCACAAACTCCCTCCCCATTTCGCATAACCCAAACTTTTTGGGCGTTTGTTGTGCGCAGAACGTCGCGCAGGCGGTGTGCTTCCTGGCTGCAGATAGCCCCAGGCTCCAAGCCCCAATTGGGCACTTGGGATGCGAGCGATCGATCGTAAAGCGAATGG